ATTAATATTTAAAAACTAGAGCACAGTGTAAGTTAATTATGATTTGTTCGAATGCTTTGTTGTTATTATTAATCTTTATTTTCTTAGTTTCATCCTACAAATATTGATAGTATTGTGGTAGTTTAAATTGTATTTTTAAGCTGCAATAACACGTACAACTGATAACTATTTGGTTTTTAAATTTATAAGCTTTTTGCGATTGGACGTGAATCATAAACTTTAAATTAAATATATAATTCATCGCTAGCCCTTTATTGTTTATATATTCCCATGACAAGCCAAAAATCGTATAAAGCTGTTAGTCATTGACTTAATGTGGGCTCAGGGATTTCCTACTCTCGAATCATTTCAGTTGGCTGTCCAAGTAGCCGGGCAGGTCTCATTAACGCATTTTACAGGTGTCAGGCGGCATTTTTCAGTGGGTCGCACTCATTCACTGACAAATTACCTTACAAAAATGTTAATTTATTCGAAAGAGACTGGCATCGGTGTCGGGTCAACGATGCGAGCGGAAATATCTGTTATTGTAATTGATAATAACGTTAATGTGCTGCTCGATTTATTAAAATCGCCCCTGTATTTTTCCCGGCTTTTGAAGCAACACTGAATCAGCAGCTTTGACTTGACTTAATGTGCTTGGAGATCGTCGCCAGTTAATTAATAGCGGCAAATTTAATCTGTTCCAAGTTGGATCTGACTTGATTCACCCCCTCACTGTTCCTGTTTTTGATTATCTCTTTGGAGTTGGCATTTAAAAATTATACGATCAGATCTGGCTGCTACTATATGACTGTAACCGCCTGGCGCTCCAAGAATTGTCATAAGCCTATTAAGAGGCTGATTGTTTATGTCAGAAACTTGCCCTGCCCTGCCTTGAGTGTGCCATAAAAGTAATTCCACCGATCGGGGAGGGTTGCCTTTCGAACTGGGGACTGGCCCTCCTACCAGGAAGCCATAAAACAATCAACGAAAATGCTCCGAATGACTTCCATCAGTTGCAACTGCGTTAATTGCATTCCGAAAAATGAGGAATTTGATGAATATTAAGGAATTCGGTGGGCCCGACAATGGATCAATTAAAAATGACTAATAAAGCGTATAACTGTAATGTGCTTTAAACGTCAACATAAAGAAACCAAGGGTTGGGATTCATATGAAGAAGTATTGACCATTTATTGCTAAAAAATTTTCCATATCCGGGGTAAGCCTTCGTTAAATAGCACTATTGACATTTTTTAAGCTCGACTTGGCTGATTTATCAAACCGAAAATGAGTTATACATTAATAAGAAATATTGACCACTCATAAATGTCTCATTCTGTATTTTTAAGAAACTGATAATACACGAGATGTCCCAAGAAAGTATAATTAATGGTGTTAAAAGAGATTCTTTTGAATGCAAGGGAAGTTATATGATTAAAGCACAATAAATTGTATATTATCGCAGCTGCTCATATTTGGAAACAAACTATGAAAGTGTTTGGAATATTCCATAAAACTGAAAAGCATTTCTTCGAATTTGAAATGAATCATGCACATGCTTCGATCACTTTCAGTTCCCATAAAGAACAGGAAACACCTGTTCATGTCGCTGACCAAAATTTCCCTATGCTTTCTCTGCTGAATTCATTAGAAAACTACCCTCGAGTGGCAATACGAACGAAAGGAAGAAGACCTCGGCCGCAAATAGCAATTACAAATACAAACACGAAAGTTGAAAGTCCCCAAAGTCTGCGGATGACAACGCTTCCTTCTGCTGTTTCCTATAGTTTTGCCAATTAGAATTTTGCGAAGACTTGAAAGCAAATTGCAACAGTTTGTTAGGTCTGTCGGTCTCTGTCTTCCTTTTTGTCCCTGTCTCAGTGTCAGTGGCAGCGGGAGTTTATATATATATCTCTGCAGGCCCTTCTCTTCTCCTTTAGACAGATATATCCACATTTATATATGCGCTTGTGCGTCGCGACATGCAAATGTGTGTGGTTGTGCGCGTGCAGATAAGTTAACTTCACTTCACTTTCTATGTGTGTATGTACATTTTCCGGACTACTTCCGCTGGGGCATGCAACCGCAGTGCAGTGCCGTGACCCTGCCACCCGCTAACCCCTACTTCTTTTTCTGGCTATCAGCACCCCTCCCCTTACACCATCCAATGAAGAAAAGCACTACACGACAGAAAAACAGAGTCATCAAATCAAAATAAAATTTAACAATTATTAAATTCTTGTGTCAACATAAAGCTATAACTATACAACAGTATTTTCAGTCTTAACTACTTATAATTATTTATTTTATTTATTATCGTCATCAATGTCATTTTGATTAGATCAGATAAAAAATTTTTTTTTTAATATTACTTAGTTTAAACGATTATTTTGTAGTATACAATTTATTAGTAAGTAACATTTAGTCTACTCGAGTGTTTGCTTAAAAGTATTCGACATTCCAGATAATTTACAAAAATATAAAAAAAAAAAAAAAAAAAAAAAACTTTAGACTTTAGGTTGAGACAATTTAGACACAGTTACCCTAATGCTTGAATAATATTTTAATCAATATTTTGGTTTATTAATCTTAAATATAGATTCTTTATACAACAGAAGATAAAAGAAATAATATTAAGGTAACAAAACACGAGTTTTTTTTTTCTAGAAGACCTTCCATGACATATTATGACATATTCCAATATTATCCTGTTGTTTTTCTCCGTGAACGGCATCTTACGCTTCGTCTTGGCTCCATTTTCATCATTTATTTGATTACACGCCACTCATAAGCGCGATTGCGTTAGTGTATGCGAACAATCCGGAGAGTGTTTGTGTGTGTGTGTTTGGGGGGTGTGCGAGTGCGTTTATTGAACCGACTTCATGGCATCGCCTAGCTGGCGACACTCAGCCGAACTCAACCCAGGCAAAACTCAACTCAACTCGCCGACATCCCAACTCGGTCTGCCTCGGACTCAGTTCTTTTCTTTTCGGTTCCGCTCATATCGCGCTATATATAGTGCTCCATATATGCATATCCACATACCTAAATCTATATAGCATATGTTTGCCACGTTCGTCCAGAAGGCAGCCGAAGAGCGGCGACATCCATCGCTTTCGATATCCTTACTAAATAAACAATATGCGGGCTAAGCGACGTCCTCGACCTAAACACTGTTTCAGGGCCACAATAAATTTAGCATTATTTATTGTTTTCAATACTTTTTTGTAATCCTTAGTAATCTTGGGAACTCAACATATGAAATGAAAATAGCCAATAGTTTTTATTGTATGGTTCTAAGAGATATCCATTAGTTTTAAATATTTATACTGTTGTTACTTCACATTTTAAGTTCTTTTACAATTAAATTTTCTTGAGCACTATTTATGTATATCAATATAAAATATCATAAAGTTTATTGGTGTATTACTGCTATGAAACAGGTCTTGATTGCGCCGTACTTTACTCAATCTTTCATATTTTTTCCAAACGTTCACGTCCTTCAATTACGGTTTTCGCACTTTAATAAACGCCAAGACTCGGTCCAACCACATGAGCAACACCGCCCGAATGGCTGGCTGAATGGCCGACTGGCGGAGTACATAAATAGTTCATCCTAGCCGCCTCGCATGTCTGGCTGCTGAGTCAGCGGCACGGGTTCAATGTCCTTCGGCGCCTTCAAGAATGCCACAGCGACTCCTTGGCACACAAAAAACGAAAACAAAAGGCAAGCATAATGGGTAAATTGCTCATATTTTGTTATTCTGATTAAAAAGGCGCCCGCGCTCATTAACTGCAGCAATCCGCAAGCAAATGTCCTAGTGGCGAGGGCTCCACATGGGCGCAGACGATGAGGGAAGGGGGCCAGACCCACAAATGCATTAAGAGCCATGGGCTCCATGGCCCCAAACAATAAGCGTGCATTGTGCACGGCGAACTGCAGTGGCCAAACCCGTGACTACTGGTGGCCCTCATCTCGTGGCGTCTGAATGCACACATGTACAGTGCGTTACGAAAAGTTAACACGCACTTATTTTCTTAAAGTATAAGTTTTGAGTAACCTTTTTAAACATACGTCATAAGATTACTTACACGATTTAAGTTATGTATGTCCCTTAATATTTAACAACTTAATATATTTTTTTTGAGGATAAAGTTTTTTTTTAACTTATTGAACAAGATCATCAATGTAGACTAAACGTAAGAATTATATATACCATCCCCTATCAAAATTAGGTATCTTTTTTTTAATATCTGAGAAGCTTCAAACCACGAACTCTACACCGATGGCTCGTACTGTTTATGCATATGTAGACCATTTGGGGATTTTGGGTCATAGGCATGTGCAGCCACAGCATAAAGAGGCAGCCTCTGCACCTAGGAGTGAAGAGGGGGTGTTAGGGGCCGTCGGATGCGCCTTATCTTGATGCAACTGCTCCCGTATATACGGATTCGGATTGAGTATTTGAAGCTGCTGCTGCCATTGCTACGAGAACGCTCGTTTTCTATGTTGATTTAATTTTCATATGTTCGCTACTGACCATCTCGCTCTTTTTTTACCTTTTCGTTAAATTGGATTCGGATTTTTTTTTCTTCCTATTTATAAGGTTTTATTATTCATGTCACAGCAACAGTAATTGCTATTGGAAACATTTGCGGACTTTATTCAACCACTCAACTGGCTCTAGGGGTTAAAAGTTAAAAATTTATGCATTTTTATTGAAATGGGCAACTGTGTCAAACTTTGTTTAAGCGTTTATCATCAATTATGCATTGATTGATTATATTTATGAAATACTTGACTGTATAAGTGCTTTTACAAAATGATTAAAATGTTTGTATCCTTGCAGGTCTTTAAACTTAGAACAGTTCGTTTCCATATTATAAATTTTTATAAATTAAAAAATATATACATATATTTATATAAATTTTAAGAAATAGAAAAATAGGAACCACTATAAACTATATTTTCCAATCTCTTAAATTATTTTTATTTTTCTAAGTGGTATGAAACTCACCATGAGATCCTCGGAGACAATGTTTTTAGTTTTTTTGGGCTGGATCGCCTGCACATCCATCTGTTCAGCAGTGGCAGGGAATATTTCGGGGAGAAAATTCAGATCCTGGATGCAATAAGCTAGCGTAACGAGGGAGAGCAGGACGGGGACGACACGTGTGGAGCACATTTTTTAGCTTTTACCGTTCTCTTTCTTTCCCGAGAAGAAGAGCACAGCAGCTTGGCACTTTTCCTTGATCACTTGGTATTCGTGGATAACTATTTATCTTTATTTTCTTTTCGAGACTTAATTAATTGATGTGCTGGACTAACAATTCCTAATGGTGCTGAGGAATTGGACTTTTCACTTTTATTTTATTTTCGTTGTTGTCTTTTGGCCGCGGGGGTTGTCACACACACACATGCGCATTGGCGGCACACACAAATAACCGGCAGCATATAAATTGCTGAAGCAACAAAAACAACAAATGGAGTAGGTGGTGGGGTATCGTTGTTCTGTTTTGCGTTTCTTGTTCTGTGTTTGTTGCTTTTGTTGTGGCCACCACTTCTTTCGGTGGCTCTCTCCTTTTCGCCCTTTTTCCGCTCTTTTACATATGACGCATACGAATGGTGGGAAACAGGAGCAGGGGGCCTTGAATTGGGTTGGGCTGGATTGAATTTAAATTGTAAATTCTATATCAAATGCATAATATTAGCCACTGGGCCACAGAAACACAATTAACTAACACGCAATGCCTGCACAAAGGAATCACTTTTCTTGTTCTTCGGTTTTTTAGTATATTCCCGATACAGACTCCCGATTCCCGTTGCCCGTTTACCGTTACGCGGCTTTGTTCGCCCCACAAAGAAAAGACAAGAAGTGGGCGGCACTCTCTTTATATGCTTGTTTCATGTAAGCATAAATCTCAATGGCTTTTTGTGTTTTCAAATTATTTATTTCTTTTTTGTTCGAACTTAAAAATCTCGTTACACCGCCAAGTGGGGAATAGCGGTTATACCGCTTCGCGCAACTGACAGGCAGTGACTGCTGTCTTGCTGCGACGTGTAGCGACTTGCCATGGTACAAAGAGCGCAAAAAAATAGTCGCGCGTTTCTCTTTACCCGCGAGAAAAGAGTAGAGAGAGCGATCATGGCATGGGGAAACGTTGATACTTAAGGATTACTCCCCCACCACCACCTCGCGCTGAGCTCTCTTAAACAAGCACATAATAAGAGTGTAGTTTAAGAGCGCATCTAAATCTGATCGTTTCGGATGCTCGATTTTTGGTATTCCTAATATAACTACCTAAAAAGTGTCAGTCCTAACACTTTTCTGCCAAGTTTGGCGCCGGTTGCACAATAAATACAAAGCGGATGGCGAATAATAATGATTGATGGACCATTTTTGTGATGCCAATAAAAATAGGAAATTTAAAAAAGGGACAGTTGACTTAAGATTTTATATTTAAAGATATTTTTTTTTGAATTTTTATCAATGAACAAGATACTTTTCAATATTTTCTCGAACTCACAAACTGCGTGTAAAATAAAGTAACAATGACGTGGGGATTCTTTTGGTTGACGGAACCGGTTTTATTTTTGAATGAATGGCTAATCAATTTACGCACGTAAATTGGCCATTGACCGATTACTCACCGTAGTACTCAACTTTATCAAATCACAATCTATTGGAAATCCCAAAATGTCACTGATAAATACTCAGTAAAAACATCCTCGATATACATATGTAGTTTGTTTATGTATGTTTTCTATGATCATAATGATCAATGTCGATTTAATTCAATTTGTTTTCACTTTATCATATCCAATCTACAAAAGATACAAGTTGATCTTGTATATTGATGACAAATTTACGTCTTGCATGTGCGTAGATCAAGAATAAACCTATAGCCCAAGTTTATTGCCAGCCTTAGTACGGTAAAAACCAATAAGATGGATCTATAACCAATTTTCTGTTATTATTTAATTATGCATTTAATTTGTATTATACCAACAATGTTTCATGGCAAACCTCTCTTAGATTCGTATTGAATAGTTATGTTCTCTTTTTGGCGAACACCACTGTACCTACAGATATCCGAAACAACTTGCCGGCAATTTCTGAACCTAGACTGAGGTCTTGGGTTCAAGTGCTAATTGAACACGATATAGAATGCAAAACCGATTTCTGCTCTGCAGTTGACCCAAATAAAGTACAAATGACAAACGTAACGGTGACACATGGTCAAGCCCTTTAAATGTGCGTAATATTTTGGAAAAATTGTTACGCCATCAATACATTTGTGTTATCAGTGTCAAGCATAAGCTTATTACTCAATGGAAGTTACGTGAATTTCGGCGGAAGTTGTGCACTTATCATTCTTCAAAATATAACTGTCCACGGGTTGCAATTGTCAGGATCGAGAAATAATTTATCGAGCTTCCTGCGGATGGGAAAAAAACACTGATTATACAGCGTAAGAAAGGTTAGTAACATTTTCGATGTCAGTGACTCAATGAGAACACTATCTTGTTTATTTGCTTTCTCTGTAAGGCTGATAACTGTATCTGCAGCGTTAGCTTTAGCCTTTTATCCAGCTTTGACTGGTTGGGAGTATCCGAGAGTTCCGAATGCTAAGAGCAAGTTCGTGACATATTACTTATGGGGATGTGTCGTCTGGTTATGCCATGGGGTACGTACGACTACGGGAACCGATACGGCTGCGTCTGCCTGTCGCCTCTGTTTGCATAGTATTGCATTATTTGTGTGGGTGGTGGCATGGACGTCTGGCCAATATGAGGAAACTTATTTATTTATGTGCGTGCCTGCAAATGTATGGCGTACACTCAAAAATGTTAGTTTTCTTTATGAAAATGTAAAATATTTGATCATTCATAGCATACGCTAGAATACAAACATTGCATTGGTGTAAATATACTCTTGCTTACATTTTAAAAAAATTTGCTGATAACTCATGGCCATTTATTCTACATTCTTAATTAATGTTTACGAAATCGGGGTCACCAAACTCGATCTTGGAATATAAAGAAACTAAGCAAAATTTTACCCAAAATTAAAAACATTATTTTTAATGCAGATAAATAGAAAAATTAACTTTAAATTAAAATTTTTTTTAAATTTTCAAAAAATTCTTAAACAAAGTTGAAAACTAAATTTAAAAAAAAAATCAAAACAAATTTAAAAACTAATTCTTTGCAAAGATCTGTAATAATTGGATTTAGGAATATTATTTTCTCAGTGTTCACATTGGAGTGTGCCTAGGAGATCTTACTTCCCATTGAGCAATGACTCAATTTGAGGTGTATGTTCGACTGGTCTTAAATGGAAGTGTGCCACTGGTCGGACATGCGATTTACATACTACCATTTCCCAAGCGTGCGAAATCGAACACGTTCCTCCACAGGCAGGAAATCAATGCAATTACTAATTGTGTTTTACACAGCCCCAAACTTTCTCGCATGACGCACGGTCAAATGCGACTTATATATGGCCAAATGGGCAGGAAATGCCAGCCCAATTGACCTTCCCCCGCCCACAAGCAGATGTATCTGTATCCGAGAGTAATTAATTAAAATATGCATCCAGTGCACTTGGTTCTCCACTTTCCGTGGACTCGTGCGTTGCTCTCGCCTTGCCTTGATGTGTCCATCTGAGAAAACGCGATTTCCATTTAGCAGGTCCATTAATCGCATTCTGTGGAGTTTGTCTCATTATCGCTCAGAAAGTGTCACACGGCCAGCTGGCGATTTATTGAATTCACTCACTCAATGGCAAGGGAAACCAAACAATTAATATAGGAACAAGTACACATTAAAATTCCATATCCGATTTGCATGAGAAATGAAGAGCCGTCAGTCGAAAAATAAAGTTCCCGCATTATTTTTGTATATTACCCAACAGGTTGCGGGACATAAAAGATTTTAAATTTTTGCGCTGAACGAAGTTTTTATACCCTTATGGCTCATACATCGGCCAATCAAACTGTGTACCATTAGCTCGATCAGCAGCCGAGATAAGCCCGAATTTCGAATTTGAATTTACGAGTATAATTCTTGCATTCTTGTTCACACCCAAAAGCGGCTACATGGGTGAGTGCTTACAAAAAGAAAAAAATGCTCCAAATGGCCCTCTTTTCCCATGAGTCAACCACCTTTTGTGGCGTTTGACTGTTGATGATCAGTCTAAAAGCTGACGCACACTATAGGTACTCATAACGTAAAACGATGAGATTTAATTCTATGGACTCATCTCCACGAATCACGCAGAAAGCGACAGCCACAACAAAGAAAGCATTTTAATAAACATATCCCTGGATGAATACGATCAAAGATTCATACAAATCTACACATTTCCAAATGACTAAATTTTAATGTCTCAGAACCCCAGCTCAAGCTCGAATTGGGAAACAAGATTAACTGTACCAAGAACTAGTGCAGACAATTTTTTAAGAGAAAGTAATAATAGAAACCAAAGAAAAAATCAACTAGGTGCCCAAACAACAAATGGAAAAATAATGCAAAAAAAAAAAAGAACGTCCGAACGATTTTAAATTTTCCTGCCTGCACAATTAAAAAAGAATATTTCTATTGTTTTATGTCAAACAAATCTATAAGGATAAAAAAAGAATCAAATTAAGGTCCTATTTAAACTTATAATTTGTATCCTTTTTCGTATCCGCTCTATATGGATTTATTTTCCTATTCAAACCACGCAAAATATGTAGATTATTCTTAATATTTGTGCGCGGATTCATCATTGTGTCATTTAAAGAAAAACAATTAGTAATTGCGGAATTTTTTACAATAATTAAAATTAATGGTCCATTTGATGGTTTTGTTTTATAGCAAAATGTCCACAAGTAAAGCTTTTAGAACCTGACGAGTCCAAACTTTGATTAACCTGCCTAAAGCATTCTTCTTTGACGAATACAAAGCCGAGTTTTGGGACCCACAGGGATTCTGCCGTTCTACCCGTTTTGGCCACATCCACTTACCCCGTTCACGCACTCCGCCTGTTTGTTTCATTAACTGCATAATTCAAGCAAGTTTCCCGAAAAGCCGCAGAAGGCCAAGACTGAGAAGCGAAACTGCACAACTTTGGCCATACTTCAGTTGCATTGCGTGTAATATTTAATTATAAGATGCCGCCCCCGTCCGCTGCTTTCCGGGAACAGTGCAACTTTACGGCAGTTGCCAATTGCACTTTGGTGGCAGCCGCCTCCATGGGGGTGGCATAAACGTCTTGAGAGGGCATAAAATATTTAATTGTGTCACGTAACTTTTGCCAACTGACTGGCGTACGGATAGATGGCATCCCTTATATACATCACTTTCAGTTGAGCAGTATGCATTACAATTTTAATTTCTGAATTGGCGGGGGAAATGAGATTACCAGACGTCAAGTGCTGAACAAAATTATCCAAGTCATCTCGCGGGACGATTACCATATGAAATATACAGCTTTATTCATTTGCTTTGCTCCTTTTTAATACAATGACGTAATTAGTTTATACTTTCATATAAAAAAAATATATGAGTGAAGTGTGAAATTTTCCGCCTGGCTCATTCAGTATCCAATTTCCAATTACTCAATGCGATTTAAATCCGCTTTCGGTTTTCCGTAATTCGTTACTTTTACAACTATGCTGAGCAGAGAGTTTCTTCAGATGCAGTTAAGTTTTTGCTTTAAGTCGAGTCTTTGTATTTCGTATGATGCGAATTCATTTGCCATTCCTTAGAGGATACACACACATAATATATAATTTCTAGATCTGGGCTGTTCTTTGTAATGGTGTTGTGTAAATTAAAATGCAAACAGCTAGACAATAACTTCTGCCTTAGAGTTGCGCGACTCCAAAACGCGGCGCCAAGACGAAACGGGATCGTAAAATAATTTAATGGTTAAATTAGGAATATATATGGGCTTAGGGAAGCGTGTAGCGGACGTAGGGTACCTCCACATCCTCGCCGTCGACGTCGTTGCAGCAGATTTCAAAGACCAGGGAACGCTCGTGCGATTCGAGGCGGCGCTTGGACACGCGACGCACTACCTCCGACATGGGCAGCGGCAGCCGCTCGGAGCACTTGGCCTTGGGCATGAAGAACGAATACAGCATGGAGACTCCTTGCGACAGCATCGTGATCTTTAGCTTCTCGTTCTCCTCGAAGTAGTTGAGGAACTCCTGCAGCGACAGCTCTCCGGTCACCTCAAATCGGTCCCACAGTGTCCACTCCTTTCCGTAGTATGTGTTCTTGGCAGCGGGCAACGGCTCGGAGAAAGCCATGAAGGGCAGCGCTAGATTGGCAAAGCCGTTCTTGAACTTTTCGAGATCCCGGTGGCCGACAATTAGCTTTATCACCTCCAGCGTAGCCAAGCCAGAGAGTACCGATGTGGTGGTGGCAATGGCAGGTATGATCTTACCGGCAATCAGTTTAGACTTGTGGCGATCGGCTGGTGGGATCTTGTAGTTGGCGGCGCGCAGGTTTGAGCAGGCCACAATGAAGTCCATGTGCAAGTTGCTGTCGTCGTCCTTCTCAAACTCCAGCGGCGTGATCTTGTAGCTCTTGTCGGCGTTCTTCAGCAGCTCCGTGATGATTTTGTCAACGCGGTCCTGGTCCAGCTCGCCATCATCAAAGTTGTTGGCCGAGGCGGCGGCAGCTGCCTCATTAGTCTCGATCTTCACGCCCGAACGGGGCTTGAACTCTGGCACCTGCGAACAAAATATTTCAGAAACGTTTCTTGACAGTATTCACTTTGCATAACTAACCTTAACCTGCTGCACCAGTTCGGCAATCGTCTCGCGATTGCGAACCTGCTCAATTCCATAGACCTCCGCTCGCAGATTAGCCCCGGCGTAGATAAAGTCCAGGTGCATGGGATCGTTCACATCAAACACCAGAGGATCTGGGCACCGCTTGGGTCCGGACCAAAACGGCTGACCACTGGATGTAGTCTGATCGGGTGGGAAGTTGAAGAGCAGCTGCTTTATCTGGTTAACATACTGATCCTCCCAGTAGAGACGGGCCCACTCCACGCAGTGTGCAAAACTCTTGGGCTTGTCGTCGATCAGTGCTTTCTATATAATTTAAAAAAAAAGGGATTTAGTACGAGATATTTTTTAAATTGAAGATATACAGTTATGACAATACAATTTTACCATAAATAAATACTTAGAGAAACTATTTTTGAAAATCGTTCACTAGCACAAGAAAATCAACTATAATGTTGATATGGCTGAAGTGCCGGTAAACCGTAATTTTAGTGATGCATAGGCTTACGGGAGTTAGTAGTTATTTTACCTGTATAGGCATTTTTTAATATATGTATTTGAATATATATATATTAGTTTAGTTATGTGAATCTTAATTTTTAATTTTGATTCGAAAGTTAGACATAATAGAGTGCGTTATTAAACCGTGTTTATATTTGCTAGCAATAGCATTGTTGTTTTGTGCAGATGTTCTTTTGCTTACATTTAGTGATTAAGATTTGCTTTTGACTTTTGGCACCATTTGCTTTTTACACCGAACACGTCTATCTATCTATATTCAGTAAACCTTTAGAATTCTTTTCAGCGACTGGAAGTGTGTTTCGCACCAATTTAAACGTAGATAAGAGATCTAAAGCTTTTGGTTTTAAGTTTTGATGTATCAAAGTCTCGCGGAAGAGCACGACCAGTCACTTAGGCTGTCGAAAGTGAACTGAACTGAACATACGGTAGGAGTTGTGTTTTGTCCCTGTCTCTCACGGTCTACTCTTGTGAAATAAAAGGCTAAGCATGCATAAATCCGATAGAATAAATATCACTTGTGCTGCGACCACTGAACCAAGAAGACCTAATCGAGCCCCTAAACATGGTGAACCATTATTATTAAAACTTAAAAAGAAAATTATTATGGCTCGCCAAGAAACGTGTAAATTGTAAATCCCAAAAGTATTTGAGGTCAAGAAGGCAAGTTAAATTTGTTTAAATGTTTTAGAAATAGTGATCTCTACCTCATGCTGAATATGCCTCACTCTTACCTTGATTGAATCCAGAATCTCTAAAGGTTGAATACCGGGAAGCTTGGCAATCCGCTCTGTGAACTGCGGATCGGCAATGTACTGAGCAGCGTTCTCTGCGGACTGTTTGAAGACGCCCTCAAAGGCGTCGCGCGCCCACTGCAGAGTATGCTCGATGGCATTTGGGAAGTTCTTCAGCGTGCAGATGGGAATACTCTTCTCGGGCGGATCCTGCGACGAGCTGTACGACTCGGTGGCGAAGGGTACGATCACCTGGACGTTGCCCAAGGTTCCAAGTGTTCCGGTCTCGACCAGCGGGATACGGTTGAAGATGCACTTGCGATCCATATAGATTCGGGCATCTACATTGTCTAGAGCATTGGCCACGCCGTCCAGTTTGCCAAAGAAGTCCTCGGAGAAGACTTTCTCCGTCTCGGCGCCCACACGCAGTTCGTAGGCGGTGACGTTCACATCCGGATTCATGCGCTTAATAGCGGCGGCCGCAGTCATGGACTTCGGCTTCTGCACGTCGTGCGGCCGGAACAGGAACTGACGGTTCAGATTCGACTTCTCAATGAGATCCATGTCGGTGACGAAAATCTGGCCCTTGCCAGCTCCCAGTCCCAGCATACCAAAATTCTTCAGCAGCTCACAACCAATGGCTCCGGCTCCGACAATAAACCACTTGGCGTCGGCTAGCTTCTCCTGGAACTTCTTGCCGAAGATGGCAATCTGGGAATCGTAACGCGAGCCCGAGGGCTGTGCGTCCTCCTCCGATACGCCCTCCACGGGCAGACACTCTAGGGCATCGAAGTATAGCCACTGATAGATCGGAGTGAACTTGCCGCTGCAAGCCTTGAGCACCTCCTGGGCCACAATTCCGCCAACGGCCGCGTCCAGCGGGCACGTGTTGCCCGAGCAGATCTTGGCGAATTGCAGCACCAGCTTCTCGTCCACTTCCGAGCTGCTGCTGGCCCGGCACACCTCGAGGAAGCTGTTAGCGTCCACCTCATTCCAGGGTCGCGGCAAGGCTCCGTTGTGGGCCTTGCGGTAGCAGGATAGTGCATTAAAGGCCAGGTGGAGAGCGGCCGGGGATTCGAGCTTGGCGAAATCGGAGATCAGGAACTCAGGCTCCTCGGTGGCCTGCGCCAGAGGCTTGAAGCTGATGGTCTTGGGCATCTTAACTTGGGTGGCAACACCACCGCTCTTGTACTCGCCGAACTTGCTGGTGTCACCGATGCTGAAGGTATAGGGTCCCAGCACAGTGATTTTGATGGGCTGGCAGCCGTTCAACTCCTGCATGCCCTGAACCTCCGAGAACGTGACATGGTCACCGTCGTTAAATCCGTGACGAGTCTCGTCCAGGCACGTAACCACTCCCTGAGCGTCGTGCGTGATGCTGGCAATCATGGTGGACACCGGCTGGGTGCCATCCTGGTCGTAGATGGTAAAGTTCTCGCCAAAGTCACAGAACACCTTGGCAAACAATCCCCGCGTCTCGGCGATTATCAGGGCAATCCCATTTTCGTGGGCAAACTTGCCAATCCGCTGCTGCTCCTCCGCATCCGAGTTGGTAAGCACCACCACGCGGAACTGGCGCAGAAACTCCTCGGTAAGCGGTCCGGTGTGGGTTAAGGTGCGCACATAGCTGTTTAACTCTGCCAACTGGGCGCAGGAGGCCTCCGCCCGATTCTTGCCAATGTCGGCCTCCGTGAGATAGAACTGCGATGATAAGTCATGGATCTGCAAAAACAAAAACCATAAATTAATATATTGCACAAGTGATGAAATTAGTAAGACGGTAAAAAGAGGGGCTATGACTAACAAAAGAATATTTGTTGCGTTTCCAAGTACACAGAAAAAAAGTAGGCAGCTTGGGAGCAAATTATAACATATTTGCAAATATTTACATTTATCACATTATTTTAATATAATAATTTCGAGTTAAGAATTTTTTTCTAATGTTTCAGCTACTTATAATTTGGTCGTTACATCAATTTTTCTCAGTGCATAAAACAATAGCGAATGTGTCGAGCAAAAGGGAATGCAAAAACAATTGCAGCCCGCTGTGCGCATACGGTCGTCCCGCTCGCACAGTTTTTGCATGGCGCAGACATTTTGAGGCAAATAGAAAAAGAAGGAAAACCGAATTACACACACAACACTTTTTTGCAAGCAAATAGAGAGATAACCTAACCTAATTTCGCGCCGCGACTAGAAACTAAGTAAATGAATCACTAAGACCAGGGCTGGGCAGCCCGCCTTCCCGGCCGTTTCCCGCGTCTGCCTGGAAAATTATCGATTTTTTCTTCGCCCCCACACACATACCCCACAAGTTGCTGTGTCATGCAGGGTGATCGATTTCACACCGCCCAGAATCACATTCTTGGCGATTTCCAGGCCCAGTCCTCCGAGTCCCGACAAAAGGATGTCGGAATTGGCCATCCGGCGCATGGCGTCATGACCCAGGACGTACAATTGGCGCGAGTACAACGATTCATCGATATCTCCGCCGGCGGCGGCACTGTTTCCAGCCATGCTGCTGCTTCCTTCCAGGTGCCGACTGCTGTTGGTGTTGTTCGAGCTATTGTTGTTGCTGGAGCTGACGCTGTTGTTGTTGTTGCTGTTGTTGGTGGATCCGCTGGAGGAGGCTTCTTCTTGCGGCTCAGTGGTGGTGTCCAGGTAATTGCGCTTCTCCGGGCGCTTGCTTGCTTCCTTTTCCACGGCTGACGAAGTACTAACGTCGTCGCCGCTTCCCTGCTTCTGTTTCTCCCTCTGCTTTTCGGCTCGCTTCGCCGTCGCACTTACGACGCATGTGTCAGAGGTGGACGACGATACGCACAATTCCAGCTGGCGCTCGCTAGTCGTCTCGCTCGAAATGTCAACGCCGCCTGCTTTGTCGTGACTTTCGTGGTTGTTGCTGCCGCTACTGCTCGTTGCTCCGCCGGCATCTACTTCCATACCCCCTCCGTCCGATTCCAATCGCCTCTTTTTGGCCAGCGGCGAGTGGTCAGTGGAGCTGCAGGCTGGCGAATCGGCCATCAATTGTTGACCGCTCGACGACATTGCCGAGTTGTGGAAATATTGGCAATCAGACTTCCCAGTTGCGGCTGCCCCGCTCTCTCTCCCTCGCTCGTTCTCACACACGCACACTGCCGAACGCGGACACACGCTCGCGACTGGACACACAAACAGGCGGGAGCGTTTGAAAGGCAGTTTCGCGTGGCTATCACTTTGTTTCCAGGACTCTGGAATCCTGTTTGCGGCGAAATTTCACAGAGAGCACTCCCAAAAATACAGAACACGCACGGTCGAGTTGCAGTAGAGTTAGTGGTGGGGAGACATCGATGACAGCAATGTTGGCATCGATGTTTTCAAGTCAAACGATGTTTGTCGTATCATTATCGATGTTTTTCCATCATTAACTCAGTGGAACTTAGAAAAATGGTCATACCAAAATCTGGCACTCCACTTCTTGCGCGCTGTTAACAATAATGCACTATGTTATTGTGCATTTCTGTTACTGTTAACTTCAACAACATGTTACTGTTATGCAACAAGAACATGCACTTTGGTCATAACACTGCAAGAAATATTTTCCAATAAGATAGGTTTAATAATATGCGGTTTTTTCCAAGAAATTTTTGTGTACCTATTTATTCGTAATCAGGCCCCAAACATACTGAGAATTTTAACAATTAATAGTCAAAATTATGACAATTAAATAAAATATTAATATATATTTGTTTATTTATTATCTGGGCAATAAATAAATTTAACAACATTTATAAGCAAAAAAAATTAGTACAAAGCAATTTAAATGGTGTATGTACTCGATAACTGCGTAAGTCACCGCTAACTGCGGAGTGTGTATTCGCTAACTCCATAAGGTTAGTGTTGAATAAGGTATTTTTACCGCGCTTTTTGAATTGGTTTGAAAACATTTTTATTGGGAAATCATGTTAAGGTATTGCACTTAGAAATTTATCAGTTATCTTTAAACGAGTCTCAAAATTAATATGACGCGTTTTCTAAATTAAGTTTAAAATATATTTTTATGTCCAATTTAAAGTATAATAAGTTTTGTGTGTTATGCAAGCGATTTTAGATAAATAAAAAACTTTAAATTATGCGAACAGTTTAAGCGTTTTTATTTGTTGGAACACACAAATTCTGCTATTTGCTTTAAGGTATTGATAAACTGCAATTAAACTGTGTTACAAAATGATACCTTTATTTTTATACCCTTGCAGAGGGTATTATAATTTTGGTCAAAAGTGTGCAACGCAGTGAAGGAGACATCTCCGACCATATAAAGTATATATATTCTTGATCAGGATCATTTCCTGAGTTGATATAGCCATGTCCGTCTGTCCGTCTGTCCGTCCGTCCGTCTGTCCGTCTGTCCGTCTGTCCGTCTGTCTGTCCGTCTGTCTGTTTCTACGCAAACTAGTCTCTCAGTTTTAAAGCTATCGAGTTCAAACTTTGCACACACCCTTCTTTCCTTTGCACGCAGTATATATGTCGGAACGGCCGGGATCGGCCGACTATATCCTATAGCTGCCATATAACTGATTGATCGGAAATAACATAACTTTGGTGTTTGTAAAGTTAGGAAGCTGGGATTTCCTATGGGTTTTATATTTGGTCAATCAATCCGACCTACCAAATTTCATAAGGATCGGCCGACTATATCCTTTAGCTGCCATATAACTGATTAATCGGAAATGTCATAACTTTGGTGTTTGTTAAGTTAGGAAGTTGGGATTTTCTATGGGCTTTATTTTTGGCGAATCAATCCGACCTATCAAATTTCATAAGGATCGGCCGACTATATCCTATAGCTGCCATATAACTGAACGATTGGAAATGCCATAACTTTGGTGTTTTTAAAGTTAGGAAGTTGGGATTTTTGATGAGTATTAAGAATGCATCATATGAATAATTTTGGAGAATATAATTTACAGAGTATTCTGCAAGGGTATATCAACTTCGGCTCCGCCCGAAGTTAGCTTTCATTTCTTGTTTAAATTGGAAAAAGTATACTTTTCTAATACATTTCGAATATGGCCATTCGTCTATTTCATTAATAATCATATTTGTAAAAATTGTCATAACTATCTCATAACAATTAAGATTTTATACTTTTAATTATTTATTAAGTTCCTAATTTATTAGGTGCGTCTATTTCATTAACAATCATATTTGTAAAAATCATCATAACTATTTCATAACAATTAAGATTTTATACTTTTAATTATTTATTAGATTCTTGAAAAGAAGAATTAATTTTTTGTTGAAACACAATTGAATTTGTAAAATACTTAAATCAAAAGAGTCCAAAAAAGGGCTTAGCAAAATTATTGCAATTGGCTTTCCACTTCAGTTACCTTCAATTCTCGAGTAACTGTGTAACCCATTAGACCTAAAATTAAAATATATCCTGCAATAGAATTACCTAGTCATCAATCTGTCGGCACTTGAGGCAATTATCCTGGGCCCAAACTCCGATCGTGGCACGCGCCCTTCGGCGATTGTCCAGCCATCCAACTGACCCACAGCAAGGTCCTTCGGTGTCCCTTCGTCCTGGCCGGGTTCAATATCCTTTGAGAGCGGCTAATCTATTTTCGGTCGGGGTCTCCCTCTGTTCAACGGTAGTCGAGCATGAAAATGCGTAAATTTCCACGAAAAACCCAGAGCTATCCCAGTTTTCGGTGCGGCGGGGGTGTCCTTTTCAAGTGTTGAGAGCGTGCCATTAGGAAAATACGAGGGGCAACAGCTGCAGGATCTAAAACCAGGATCTCGTCGCACAGTTGCGTAAAATGCATTTTAATTTACGCCTACAGCTGCGCGAAATACTGCTCCCGTTATCGGTTTCGGAATTTCTCCCTTTTCCCGGCCTCTCTCTATTTTTAGTCCGATCTCGATAGGAAGGAAAACTAGCCGCGGACTCTATCGCGTGCGGTGTGTCCTTCGTCCTTGTCGCGTGGCCAAACCCGAAAAGTACTGAAACTCTGGGCAAATTAGCATACTGATCCTGCGCCAAGCGGGGGTGTCTGCTGCCCATCTGTCCTCCAAATATCCTGCATCGCGTGCCTTCGACGAGATATGTATGTGCAATGGAAAACATTCCTACCTTCCTAAATTAAGCCTCATCACATATGGCCCCGCATCATCCCTATGCAAATTCTCACCCATTAATCAATTTGGAATGTAATTTGAATATGAAAACTGGGTAGCAAAAAATGGCCGACACTATTAATTTCTGTGCTGTCAACGGTTTGCATTTGTACAATGACTATTTCCACAATTGGCAAATGGTTTTGAGTTTTTTATTTTAGAAAAAACTGGTAAGCAAATGTTTTTGCATAATTAACAAATTGATGTTGGTTGAATTTTTGTATTTTATAGCTAGGAATTGACGAACTATGCAAGACATTTCGTATAGTTATATATATTTTAAAAGACAAAAACATATAATTTTATTTTAGAATCTTCTAAGAATTTTGCAGTTTAAAAACTTAAAGTTGTTAGAATAGAACAAAATAAAACCGTTAATAAACCGAATCTATATACTTCTTAATTTTTTAATGAAACAACTTTAATATATTCTACCATCATTATAAATTTCTATGGAAACAAAACATATTTTGACATTTCAAGAATATTTCCGAATTTACTCTATAAAATTTTAAAGAAATAAGGAAACCTTCCTTGCATTTTTTTACCTTTTCCATTGGCCTGCATTTTCAGTGCCCTTTATATTTTTTAATATTCCGCTTCCTTTCAGAAACGACAATTGTTCCTTTAACTAACCCTAGACACGGAAAACGGCTCCTTGTTGACCCATTATTATCAAAGGAACTCTTCTTAACCCAGTGTCTCATATTGCGCTTATCAAGGAGAAAATATATCTTTAATGCCGATCAACATCTTCGTTCTATTGCCACTAAATGACGAGTTTTTCCTTCACTTTAATTGTCTGGGAAAATGTATTTTATCGCCCAGCCACCATCTATAAGGAGAAAAGGCAGCAGAGGGCCCAGCGTAAATATTAAGAGGCAGAACAATTAAAGAAGTGTCCCCTCTGCCTTTTCGTAGTTGTAGGAAAATACGTTACAAATCCAACGCTTGGGCGACTTGGCTTTCGGCATCCAGCGAGTTGGTCAAGTGGATTGCAGTTTGCTGCCGGTCTTGAGTCTTCCCCTATTTTTCTTATTCTGGCCTAAATACGCGCCGCTTTATGCTCACTGAATAACGTGTGAAAGTCGAGGGGAAGGAATGCCGAACCTAAATACAGAACCCCGAAGGAAGTGAAGTGCTGGCTGCAATTTTGATTTGGCCCTGAGGCAGTGGCATTGTTGCAGTTGCAGTTGCACGAGGGCGTAGACAGTTGGCCACAGGTGAGTGCGTCAGTTACCTGGGCAAACTGCTAATTGGTGCCCTTTTCGATGGAGTACAACTCACTATCCCCATCGCAAAAGTCCCACCGAATGCAATCAAAATATTTACGAATGCAGTGGAGTGTGAGTTCGGCGAGGAACTCAAGTTTTAAAGGTGTGAAAGGACAATGCGGAGAGCTGTCAGGAAAATGCAAATGCCGACTTACCTGGATCTCAAGAAGGGGTTTTCCACAATGGAGGGCACGACAAAATATTTTCAACTATTTCGAGTGTCTTTTGCAGGAGAACACAAGGGGCAGGGATCCTAGATTTATGTATGTAAATGCCCGTCCAGCACACTCAACCCGAAAGGAAGGGCTGAAAGTCGAAATTAAGTTGTAATCTTTGTAATTTTTGTCACTCCAAGGGGTTGACAGCGGACAGCTGCCTCACTCCCTTCATTTTCCCTTTATTTTCCTGCTTTTCCAGGGAGACTGCATAAAGCGACACATTTGTTTTGTAAATATTGCGTTTGTAATTAATGCGCGAATATCGAGAGACACATTTCTCAGCTTCGTTCGCCGCTTTTTGTCTTTGTCTTTGGCTAGATTTGCATATGGGCCTCGATTGGCATCATTTTTCAATTGCTAGTCATTTTTCATTATGGCCAAAGGGTTTGACTATTCAAATTTCATTCAACAGAGATTAATAGGTTCAGCATTTGCTATTTGGGATAATATCACAGAGTCCAGGGCGGAATTTTGATAATTTATGGGGAGAGAAAAAGGATATCAATTGGTTTGAAATTTCATATTTTTTGGATTTTAGGAAAGGAGACAAATACTTAACAAAAAATCTTATTCAAAACTAAACTAAAGATATTTGTGGTTTATATATGTTTTATTACTCATGCTATTTTATAGCATCTTTAGACTCTTTTTATGAACAGGCTCTTAATA